CCCCCCCAATTAAGTGCTCAGAGGCTATCGATTCTACAAGCCAGCTTCCTGCCCAGAAGAACTGGGCTTCCCTTGCACTGTGGGCTAGGAAATCCCTGCTCTCTCTCATACTCTGTCTCCCTTCTTTGGTTGCTGCTGCTCCCCTGCCACTCCTCTGGTCTTAAAAGCTGCCTCTTAGATCAAGGAGGGTCAATGTACAGGGATCCTGGGGTCCAAAGGACATGCTCCACTCCGGGCTCTTTTGCTGATAGTGAGATAAGACTCATCTTGACAAAAGCATTGTGAAAGCAATGATACTATCCTATAGTCACTAGCTAATCAAATACTATTTCAAGCAGAACTTTTGACTTTTAGGTTTCTGACACGCACAATTATTTTTCTAGTTGCTCGAGGAATTTCCATGTTATCAAAAACAGGTTTTGAGACAAATATAAATATTATTCAGATACTTTTTTTTCCTCTCCCCATCTGTTTCCCCAGTTTTCATGTTTGCACCCTGAGGAAGTGGCATGGGTACCATGCCTATTCTCTTTTTGCCTCACTAGGGTCAAGAAAACCCAACTTTACTGTTACCGTGCAGCGGTCAGACATGTTTTCACCCGCCATCCTTCTTAACCCTATTCTGATACCAACTACGCCACCCATGGCCCTCTGTTTTCTGTGGAGTATGACAATTCCTTTCAGTAGTCACAGAACTCACATTACAATTATGGGGAGTTATTAGGGAAACTAACAGGGTACAAAATAGTAAGGTTACACACAATCTGTCTGTCTGTAACACCTCAGCCTTACTGGTAGGCATTTCACTCTTGTCCTCAACCTCTCAGGCATCTAGTTCCTTGCCCTCTCCCTCTGTGAGCCAGGCAGCCCACCCACCTCTCTGACTTACTGCCTCATAGTCCTAATACACTTCTGGCTCATGGTCTTGGTGCTTTGGCCCTTTCAGGAAGGGCTCTTCTTTCTCCATCATTATGGGAATGTCAAGTCTGCTGAGATGACTCTTATACCCAAAGGAATGCAAAAACTGACCAATCACCTCTGTGAGTTTTACACACCTTATGTGCCTGACACAGCTGGTCTTATGGTGGGCGTTACAAAGACATGGATGCTGTTTTTAGGTGCCAGTGAATTGGCTCCAACTCACAGTGATCCTATGCTCAACAGAGTGAAACATCGCCCAGTCCTGCACCATTCTCAGTTGTGTTTGAGCCATCATTGCAGCCATTGTCTATCTTGTTGAGGGCCTTCCCCCTTCCTGCTGCCTCTCTACCAAGCATGATGTCCTTTCCCAGGGACTGGTGTTTGGATAGAAGAGCTGTATATATTTAAGTTCATTCATTTGAGAAGATTGTGCCCAGAACGGAATACTCCCGTGTCTTTGCAATTGTAATGGACATCAAGAGCAGGAAACATTTGGTAGACGGACTCAGTAGATGAGATCTTTCCTCAAACCATTGCATGGAATCATTAATTGAGCCTTTCTTTCCTACTATTTGTCCTGGCATATTTATAGATAGAAACTTGTAGGAATGCCAAACCTTTTTGAATTGGGATTGGGTGAGCAGCCATGTATGAAATAGTAAATATGCTCAGCACACAAGGAAATTGTTCTAGTTTGCAGTCTGCTGAAAAGAACAGCTTTGTGGACCGTTTTCCCATGTAAACAGGTTTTTTTGTGTGTGTGCAGCATATTCAACTGTGTGTTGGTGATTTCATTATGTCTGGTTTTCAGGGCGGATGTTGCAGGTTGGGCATTGGGTTGGTCTTTAAAATATAAAGGTTGTTGGTTTCTTGCTGAGCCCATGAGGACTGTGTATTGGCCATTGTTGCTCTTTGTTTCCGAAATGTGATATTACTGTCCTAACCTGCTTGCTGATGGGACTAAGGGGACTGCGATGGGGGCTGGTGTGAGGCTGGGGTCTGGGATTGCCAACCAACCAACCAATCAACCAACTAGTTGTCAGCAAGTCTGTTTTGACTTACGATGACGCCGTGTGTTGCAGAGAAGAGCTCTGCTCCATGGGGTTTCATGGCTCTGGCTCTCTGGAAGCCAGTTTCTAGACCTTTCTTTGATTGGGGTCAAATTGAGAAACCATTCTGTTTTTAGCCGAGCCTTTAACTATTGACTCCACTTAGGCAGTCCGTTGTAAGCCAGGAGCCCCAATGATCATCGCAGAAGTTGTGTGTCCTGTGTTTTTGCTTTTTTTAAAAACACTTGTACCTCATGGATTGATGCTAGATAGTTATTGTATTGTCTTAATTAGTGTCCACTATTTTACTTCTCTAGTTTCCAATATCCATCACAAAACAAGTTGTAATGCCAGTGAGAAGTGCTTACAAGGACACATTACAAAATGTCTGGCCCAAAAGGCATACCACTCTACTATCCAGCCCAAGCTCCACGGGTCAGCCAACCCAGCACACTGATTAGTGTCCAGAGGCACCCAATTCAGTAAGCTTCAGCTGGGTGTACGCAGCTCCACTTTTGTGGTCAAAAGGTCCAACTTTTCCAATTAAGTGTCCAGAGACACCGCACTCATAGGCCAGCCTCCTAAGCAAATGTATTTGCTTGGTGGCTTGGGAAGTCCATCCCTCTTCTATGCCCCAGCCCCCGGTAATGCCGCTGGTCTTCTGATGGAAAACTCTCATCTGGATCCAGGAGGCTCACTGCACAGGGATCGTGGGTCCAGAGGGTGTGATCAACTCCTGGTTCTTACTGGTAATGAGATCCTTCCTCCTGCTTCTTGGAGGTCTCGTTTTATAGAGAGGATGCCATTCCAGGGAATCCTGTTCATAATTACTTGTAGGTCAATCCTATCGTTATCTCCCCCCACCGTCTTAGCAGACTCATTCAGGGAAAGGTTGTTTGGTGGGAGTTAGAGACTTTGGCTGGTAGAGTCACATTAAATAATCCACTGCCCCATGCAGTTATAAAGACATTTTTGTGTGTGTGTTGGCTCGAGTACACTGGCTTTCAGCCTTTGGCAATCACTTCTCTGATTTCGGCCTCCTTTTTCTTATGAAATTATAGAGCACACACAATGTACAGACACACCACCTTTGATTGTTTTTTGCCTTATTGTGCAAACCCGCTTGTCAGTCAAGTCTATCAGCACCATATTTCCATCAGCATGTGCTCCCTTCTCTAATTCTCACAACTTTAAACATTTTTTATTATGCTATAGCACACTTAACAGACTAGGCATAACTTGGATATACATGTGGCAATCAATAAAATCTATGTGACACACTTTATTACTCATGGAACCTGCATTATCTCCAAGGTATGTGCATAGAATAGTTTACAGGTT